CTCGGGTGGTTGCACGAGGCTTCTCGCAGAGGGAAGGAGTTGACTATAATGAGATTTTCTCACCAGTGGTCAGACATACTTCGATCAGGGTGCTACTAGCAATAGTGGCGCATTATGACTTGGAGCTCGAGCAGCTAGACGTGAAGACAGCTTTCCTACATGGAGAGTTGGAGGAAGAAATTTATATGACTCAGTTAGAAGGATTTTAGGTTCCAGGAAAGGAAGACTATGTTTGTAAGCTGAAGAAGTCCTTGTATGGACTTAAGCAATCTCCGAGGTAGTGGTACAAGAGATTTGACAGTTACATGCTTGAGCTGGGCTACAACAGAAGTCCATATGATTGTTGTGTATATCACAGTAAGGTAGAGGATGGTTCTATGATATATCTAGTTCTGTATGTGGATTATGTGCCCATAGCTGCGAGGTCGAAATCTAATATCTAGAAGTTAAAGGGGCTTCTCAGTGCTGAGTTTGAGATGAAGGATTTGGGAGCTGCTCAGAAGTTCTTGGGTATGGAGATTTACAGGGACAGGTCAAAGAAGAAGCTTTTCTTGTCACAGAAGAGCTACATCCAGAAGATACTGTCGAGGTTTGGCATGTCTTCAGCAAAGCCCTTAAATACTCATAGTGCCTCAAATATTCATATATCCTCAGCTTATGCACCGCAATCAGAGGCTGAGAAGGAGTACATGTCGAGAGTCCCATATGTTAGTGCAGTAGGTAGCTTGATGTACGTTATGGTATGCACTAGACCTGATCTTGCACATGCTGTTAGTGTTGTCAGCAGGTTCATTATCCAACATGGGAAGGAGCATTGACAAGCTGTGAAGAGGATCTTCCGGTACCTTAAGGTTACACCTGATGTGGGGATTAGCTTTGGTGTCTGGGTATTCTGACTCGGACTATGCTGGAGATATTGACACGAGGAGATCGATGACCGGTTATGTATTCACTCTTGGGAGTTCTGTAGTGAGCTGCAAGGCAACTTTGGAGTCGGCGGTGACATTGTCTACTACTGAGGCAGAGTATATGGCATTGACAGAAACTGCTAAGGAGTGAATATGGTTGAAGGGACTGGTTGGTGATCTTGGTCTATATCATGATCAGACAGTGGTGTATTGCGACAGTTTGAGTGCAATATGCTTGGCCAAGGATCAAGTCCACCATGAGAGTACTAAGCACATTGACGTGAGGTATCATTTCTTGAGGACAGAGAAGAGGATTAAGGTGATGAAGGTTGGTACCGCGGATAATCCTGCTGATATGTTCACGAAGCCGGTTCCACATGGCAAGTTCCAACACAGCTTGGACTTGCTGAATGTCTTGAGTGGGTGACTCCGCCCTACGAGGCATTGATGGCGGGGGGGGGGGGGGGGGCGGAGAGAGAAGGAGCAGAGTACATCAGAGATTTCAGAGGAAGAAGATTCAAGTCAAGGTGGAGATTTGTTGATGTGACTTGAATCGGACTATCAACCGCTACGACTGGAATAGTCGGGGGTCCAGGGGCAACGCCCCAACCCGCGGTGTATGGGACTATGGGCTCAATGTTATTTGGGTTCGGGTTATGTGCCTGGTCTGTAATCATTTCCTTTTCCAGATTGGATTTGGTATAGATAGGGGTAGTAATCGGTCGGTATCTGGTATACCGGATACCGATTACCCGGTATTCGGTATACCGGAAATCGGTAATATGGTCACCGAATACCGATACCGGAATTTAACCGGTATACCGGATGATTGGTATCCCGAAACCCGAAAGCAAAAGAGGCGAAGCCGTCATCGTGGGTCAAAATGGGGAAGAAGAATAATTGATGCAGTTGAAAGCTGAATAAACATGATGAACTTAACAAACAACAACTCCTCCCATGTTCTTCTCCTTCTTATGCATTCTTAATCCTTCCTTCTTCTACTTCATCAATTCCTCTATCGTCGTCGGAATTGAACTACTCTCTGTCGATTTCAAGTAGTAGCGCCCGGCGACATGCCTCTCTCCGACGGGGACTGCTGGTGGCAGGTGGTTGGTGAAGAGAAGAGGAAGACGGAGAATGGGTTTTGGGCCTTTCGGGAGAGAATCAGAGAAGTTCGGCTTGCGGCGTGCAGGGGGGGGCGTGGTGTGATTGTGAATTAGTGAGGTGGGGTAGGTAGATCGATTGAAATTAGGGATTAGGGCTGGCGGTTGGGTTGGGTTGCTCGACAGCAGAACCCCCAAATCCAATTCCCAATTCCGCCAAACCCATTCCCCCTGTGCGCTGCGTTTTGCTTTTTTTTTTTTAATACTCTGTATTACGGTATACCTATATACCGTCGGTATTTATCGGCTATTATCTGGTATTACCGAATGGAAAATTACACGCCCAAATACTGATACCGCCGGTATCCGGTAATATCGAATACCGATTTACCGATTACCACCCCAAGGTATAGACCCACATGGAGAAGTATAAATACTTCTCATCTCCTCTGTAATATGTAATCTCCTCGATATAGTGAAACTGGCTCTCTCTCGACCGTGGACTAGCTAACACACATCGTGTTAGTGAACCACGTAAATAGTGTGTCGTGTTTTCGATTCTCGCTTTCGTATTCTTGCTTTCTCGATTCCGCCGATTTCCCGATCCGTAGCAGCGCGTTTATAACAAGATTTATCAACAATTAACCAGTGATGCTATAACAATTAATCATTGAACCATAAAATACTAACTTTTCAGTTTAATGTCTTATTATTAAAAAAAAGGGTTTTACTAACTTAATCAAATTCTAAGTGCATAAATGAAAATGTTCTAGATAGACAAAACATATTTACCCATTTGAAGTATTAACCAATGCAAGTTAGTCATACTGATGAACACAAAAGTTCAGATTATTGAGTTCTTAACTTAGAGAACTTGCAGAGTAAGTTAGTAAGTCTAGAAAAGAGAAATCTAAGGAAAACCATAAATTACAAAGAATCATTCTCTTTCATAAGATCTCTAGTAAACTATAGAAACAAATGCATAGTGCAAGAAATCCCAATTGATCCACCAAACTGCTTATTTATTTATTTTTTTTTTTTTACAATACCAAACTGCTTATTAACAAGTCACTATCATCAGAAGACAGAAACCTCGTCCAAACAAAAGAAAGGAATTACAAATCTAACTGTACATTTCTATGCGCATTAGATTAAAAAATTATTGCATAAACTTGGATAATCATAAAGTCTAGCTGTGAATTTGAAATAAAATATAACATGTAAAATCTTACGAATAGCACTACTTTATTTTTATAAATTGTATTAAGTAAAAGAAGATATTATAAGACGGTACCGCCTATTAAAATGGATATACTAGTTACTTATAATAGAAATACAACGAGTTAAATAAAAACTCTCAATAGTCTCAATAACCCGAGTGGTTAGTAGAGATTCAATTATTAATCATATACCACTTATTAGAACATCCTTTCAACGAAAATCATCATATATGGGCTTGAAGTTTGCACAGATTTGAATACTATGTGCTTAACAAAATATGTAGGGGTATTTGGGATTTCAACGGAAGATCCATGTCATAGAAGACTTGGATGCCATGTCAATAACAAATTGGTCCCAATAACTCGAGTTATTGAGAGGGATTCAATTATTTATCATATATATACCACTTACTAACCCTGCTATTGGACAATTTAGTCGGTTATCAGGAGAATGTTTTTCCAGCTGAAGGTGTAATCTATGATGGTCTGGCGGATCCAATGCTCGTGGAACTGGTGACGATGCGCGATGCAGTCAGGTGGTATGTTAAGGCTGGGATACACCAAGTCATAATAGAAGGGTGATGCTAAGATCGTAACCGATAAGTTCAACACAATGGGATGAGTGATCTTTGATGATCTTCGACATTTGCTTGCTTCGACAAAGGGATACCACGTAGGGGTGGCTATTTGGACCGGGACCGGATTAAAAACAGGAAACCGGACCGTATAACCCGGATCGGGACCGGATAGTAAACAATCCAATCCAATATTTGTTCTTAGATTTGTGGTAAAAAAACCGGATAAAGACCGGATAAGAGAGCTCAACACCCAAAACTTAAGGGTAATTTGCATAAACGGTCACAAACCTTTGCACTTAGTACAAAACTTAACCAACTCCTCACCCTATAAGGTCTTAGGCCACTCAAATCCCACAATCTCAATGTAAAATCAAGACCGAATTGGGACCTGACCGGATCAAAACCGGACCGGATCAAGACCGGACTGTATCCAATCCAATCTTCGGTCCTTATATTTTCAAAAAGACCGGACTGGACCGGATCAATTTGGGCCAATTTAACCGGACCGGACCGTATAGCCACCCCTAATACCACGTGCGCGGTCTGTGAGTAGGTACAATAATAGGGTGGCCTATGTAGTGCCTAAAAAGGCCTCTTTATTTGTTTCTTATTGAATGTAATGAGTTTAATTTTGAAGGATGACTTCATTCAGAAACTATATATCGTTGCAACTCTTTGCTTCTTGTTAATGCATAATATATGTTTGGCAAAAAAAAAATATAGAGTATATCCATTAAATCTATAATGAATTAAACTCCGCCTAATTCATTTTATAAATAAAAAAATTGCGAAACATACACCCTCCCCCATTAAAGAAACACGAAAATACGGCAAGTAACCAATTGCTTCGTCTGTTTTTTTTCCTTCCTTTCTGAACCTTGTGGACCACAGTCCACAGATGATTAACCAATTTACATAACTAACCTCGGAGGAGAAAGGGGAGAGGAAAAGAAAAATGTTGAAACAAATCCAAAAAATTAAATCACGATACTAATCCATTTTGGTAAGCACAATTGTACATTGCCTCAATCTCTACTATAAATTCACTAAATATTCTTCCCCGATCTCTCTCCTCTATCTCTCTCTCTAAATCTCCATTACCCTAGCTAGAGCAAAATCCAAGTAAGCAGCAGTATTACTAGCTACCTACCTACTTCCTCTCCAGAGAAATCGGATTAAGTAATCATCATGATGAAGAAGACGAAGCTGAGCAACGAGCACCCTCGATTCTGCCAGATCTGCAAGCGCTGGTTCCCCACAGGAAAATCCATGGGCGGTCACATGAGATCTCACTTAGCAATCTCCAAGCTTCCCTCCGGTGACCGCCTCCACCGTCCAGCTCCTCCTCCTCCTCCGCCTCCGCCGCCTACACCCAAGCGGAAGCGCCGCCACCAATCCCCCGCCGCCCAGAGTAACAAGCGTGAAATCGCTAGGTCAGATGAGGAGGAAGTGGCTGTGTGTCTTTTGATGCTTTTTGCGATCCGCGACTTCTCGACTTCGTATGGAAGAAGAAAACTCCACAACGCAATGGCAAAGCTCCGATGGCGGATTATTACGGACACAAAAACGACGACGTTGAGTCGCGTGGGGAGAAGAAGTACAGATGCGAGACGTGCAACAAGGGGTTCCGGTCTTACCAGGCGCTGGGGGGACACCGGGCAAGCCACAACAAGTCCTCCTCCTCTTCCGCCAAATCCCTAGCTGCTGACGTGGACGGCGGAGGAGGAGGAGAGTACTACTACGATGACGAGGAGGATGAGGACGAGGATGAAGATTTTCTAGAGGAGGAGGAGGATGAAGATCATAATCAAGAACAGGAAGTAGTGGTGGCTATGAATACTAACCACCACGAAGTCGTCAGCAATGCTGCTACGGGTCGGGTAATTATGAGCAGGAAGCAATTCCCTTGCTCGTTTTGTGGGAAGGTGTTCGAGTCGGGTCAAGCCCTCGGTGGGCACAAGAAAATACACATGTCGCCGTACCATCATCACCACGACGTCCCGGTGATGATGAGTACTCCTCCTACGAAGGCGAGTAGTAACCGGCCATTGGTGGTGCCGCCAGGTGGGAGGTTGATGATAGATCTGAACTCGAGCCCGTTGGATCGAGATGGATGTAATGATGATGATGATGACGAAAGCGACGAGGTTTATCGATTCTGACCATGTCTTTCTAGGGTTGAGCTTTTTCTTTTCTTTTCTTGTCATGAACATTTAGTTGTATCATACTTTTGTGTGCATTATTATTCTATACAATCAGCTTTAGTTTCAGTACTGTGATTTTCAAGAACATTAGGTTATAGAGAGAGTCATAGTGTAGTATTAGCTATAGATGTTGCAGTAAACTGGCTGCTGGCTGCAGAAGAATTTGTGATGATGATAATGGGGTTAAGCTTTATGTTATGTTTGCTGGTGAATTGAACATTGTATGCAACTGGTGTGGGGAGGGTAATTAGTCGAATTGACTACCGTAATTTGGTCATTAATTTGGGGTAGTTTGTGTTTCTGTCTGTTTTTCCTGTAAGGAGTTAACGCATACTCGAGATGTTGCAGTAGTGGAGTTAGATTGATGGAACCTTTGGGTGTTTTTCTTTATTTTGTTCTCCATTATTATTAGTGCGCATTCTAAGTGTGCCTTGAAATTGAATCTCTGGTGCTTTAGTGGTACATACGGTTCATGTTTAGGGTTAGGTTGCAGTCCGTTTGTGTTATGCTTTGTTGAGGTGTTTTAAACTAATTAAGGTGTGTTTTGTTCACTTTGTGGATCGTTTCGTGCATCCATGGCGAGAGATAAGTCATTGCTTGCCAATCGTGAATAATCTTCGATAATTAAAAGGTATTTGATTGCATTTACGGTTTTATTAGATTCCGCCAATCATATCAAGTTTGATCACAGTACAAATACATGCGCTCAACTAATGGTGATTAGGTATTTTTAACTTTTCACAACTATATAATTGCAATTTTTTCCCTCGGTCAATCCTAGAAAAAGTAATTTGTACAAATACATCCATATAGCCATTGGTGAATCAAGGAAAGAAATCATGTGTGAGTGCTTCTTCTATATTTACATTCAGGTGACGAAGTAAAGTCAATCAATTAGGAGTTCGAGATAGAAAACTTGCCCTCGCCTCGCCTGCTTAAAAGGAAATAGTGTTTTTAGAAATATAATATGGAATTAAAGTTGTGGTCACTAAAGGATAAGAATGTTAAGCACTCGGATAGTTAATTAACAACCAAACACATGGTTAACCGTGCGGACATCGAAGTCTAACGCTTACATATATATCCACACCTTTTTTTCGTTATAGCATGGTCGATCGTTTTGTCTTTTCCTTGATTGTGTGTTTCTTATAGTCGCTGGTTATTAATTTTTTAAAATGATTGTCTGACCATCCATTATTTATGAATGATCTTCCTTCCCATTTTTATAACATTCCTTAAAAAGAAGAAACAATGCGTGTGTTTGTCTCTCTCGAATGACATAGTGAATTGGTGGTTTGATGCAATTGGAACTCAAATAATAATATGTCGTTAAACTATCTGAAACCTGGAGGAGTGACTCGCGCCAAACTTTAAAGCTTTATGCTCTACTACTTTACTATACACCTAATCAAGTCAAGTATAACTCGACTAGGTGGCATAGTATATTAGTGACAAAGGTTGTATTCTAATTAAGGATATGGAAGCCCAAGCCCTACGCTACTCAAGTGATTAAAATTGTTATTTAGTAGACACTGTGGGTTTTGTTTAAGCTAACCAACTATAAATAAACTTCACTAGAGAGAGAGAGACCAGAAAGAGAGTATTCGGGGGATTTGATTCCCTTGCCTAGCTTGATAGAATTCGCAACACAATGGACATTTAAGGGCTCAATTATAGCATTTCAACCTGCAAGGATACCTAATGAGGCAATTGGGTCAATGATCATGCACCCAATTGTCCTCCTAACTATTGTTATTAACTCAATGATCATGCAATTGACCACCATAATCAGGAGTATGCCTAGGGATGGCAACTTTGCCCATACCCATGGATTTCTTACTATCAAACCCAATTGGGTTGGGTATGAAATCCAAATAGATGGATATGGGTAGAGTTTGATGGGTTTGTACCCATACCCATTTACTTTGGGTTGAGTTGGGTTTATATCAAATGGATTTGGGTTTGCACCCATGCCCAAATACAAATTACAGTTTGGTACCCAAACTTAATAGACATGCATATTTAGTACCTAAATTTAATTTTTTTGCATATAAGTCCTCAAAATATCGATGGAAAATTACGTTTTGGTACCTAAATTTTTTTGGTCTTACATTTTGGTACCTAAACTTTTCAAGTTTTGCAAATAGGTCCAATTTTTGCATGTGTAGTTAAAACACCCTCAAGTAAACGGATATCCATATCCAACCCATACCCACTTAGATTATGGAAGCCCCAAACCCAAACCCATCTATAAACCCCCAAATCCATATGCACTTCACCCATACCCAACCCATTATCAATGGGTCTACTTGGGTTTGGGTATAATTACCCATGGGTGGGTAATTTGCCATCCCTAAGTATGCCTAATCCTCTTTAGTGAAAATGAACCCATAAGCAAACAATTACGTAACCCAATAGTCATGTAATTACCTTAGTTGCACTATTTGATTATAACTCTACTTGACCTAAGTGGCTAGTCACCTACATTAGGTCAAGTTTCTAGGTCATTGCCCACAATGCAATCAAGATATGTATACAATATTTCACTTATCAAATAGACAAGATAGCACTATAACTATAATCGAATCATTCCATTACATATAAACCCTAAGATAGGTTATGAGTTCTTACTCCAAATACATGAGATGTTACCCCATGCGTGAGAAAAGGAGAACAAAGAGAAATAGAGAAAAAACTATCAACTTCTTGATGCTTGAAGAAATCAACTCAAATTGTTCTTAGACCCATCATCTTATTCTTTCTCTCTTTGTGTCTATGCTTTGTGTTTGAAAATACCTAAATAAGAGAGATTTTTAGGGGTTATCAAGGACATTGCCAGTTAGTTTTCTAAATAAGTAAAAAACTATGCATTTATCTTTTTTTGTCTCGTATTAATATGAGTCGATCTATACCAAGGTTGTCAAACCAGTTTATACAATTGCGCCAGTTTAGCAAGTGGAATGATTGACTGGTGGTATAACTAGTTAGTGCCGGTTCATGCCAGCTGTTTAAAAAAATATGAAGAAATTTGAATAAAATATTTGGAGACAATTTACTTACAATCCATAGTCATATTTATAATATACGATATTTCAAATAAAATAACAACCACTCAAAATTTAAATACAATATTTAACGTCAGTACCTACATATTGATAATTGAATCCAACAAATAACATCAATATTTAAATTTTAAATTATCGCAAAATAATAAATTAACTTTTTTATTAATTAAATTCACTAAAACAACGTCATTTTACTTAGAGGTCAAAAAATCGATCACATCGATCACAATATATTAATATTAGTGTTGATACTCATTTTACGACTAACATCAATTAAATTCCAAATTCAACCGGCCGACATTCCAACCATTGGTAAACAACACTAATCGATATTCTACACTCAAATGTCTTCTTGAGTAAACATTCTCTTGGTCACAACTGTGGGAGCCCCAGCGGTACCATAAGGTTAGTTCATTATGCATGTCATACAGTACGCCGCACAACAAAAAAAGGTCAACCCCCAACCCACCCAATATTCCGAGACAGTAGACCGTCCCGTTCCGGTGGTCCAAACACGCAAAAACCATTATCTTATTATTATTATTTTATCGCTCTCCTCTTCGTGGAGAGCTTGACGCGAAATTCTCATGGCGACGACTCGACCAACCCCAACGTGCCATCATCAACTCCTCCTCTCCAAAACCCGGCCCATCTATATTTAACAGCCAACTCAAAATTTCCAATCCCGTTAATTAGAACAAACAAACAACATCCAGAAACTGAAGAAAAAAAACAACATGGAACACCGTGCTTCCTCCCGCTGCCGGCAACGCCACCACCCCCCTCCGGCCACCCAATCTCCCTCGCCGGCCGGCCGCCTCGTCCGCAGCAAGAGCGGTGCCGAAATCAACAACAGCGAGTCCCAGCAGCGGCTCAACGCCGCAACCCGATCGAGATCCACCACCAGATCCCGAGACCCGAAATTCGAGACCAGCCTGAACACCTCCACGTCATCGCTGCCGTCCACCTGCCGGAGGAAGCACGGCCGCGGCGGAGATGTGAGTCCCGCCGGTGGGGGGAGTCGAGATGGGCTCGTCAGGTTCGTCCAGCGCGGGGACGGCCCACGTAACTACATCACTAGCTCAACCAGGCCCAATACTAAGCTGGGCCGGATATCTCCTTCTGCATGGGCTTTATCCCCGGGAAGGCCCAATAACTTCCGAGCGCCGCCGCCACCGCCGCCGCCGGAATCGCCGGGAGTGAAAAAGAGACGCGGCAGTGGGGGCGTGGGGATGGTGAGCGGGGTTTTGAATTACTTCCGGCAGAAGAAGGTCTCGTCCGCGAAAGACGAGGATCGCCACGGGTTTAGGGTTCTGAACAGCAGGCTGGTTCAGTGGAGATACGCCAACGCTCGAGCCGAGGCTGTGATGGCGGCGCGGAGCCGAGCCGCGAGCGGGAAAATCTTCCACGTGTGGCTGAAGGTGGCGGAGAAGCGGAAGGGCGTATTGGAGAAACGGCTCGAGATTCAGAGGCTGAAGCACGGGCTGAAGCTGGGCCGGGTGCTGGGCCCGCAGCTGGGCCTGCTGAGCGAGTGGGGGAAAATGGAGGGCAAAAACGTCGAGGCGGTGAGCCGGGTGGCCCGGAAGCTCTCCGCCTTGTCTCTCAAGCTTCCTTTGCATGACGACGTCAAGGTACGCTACGCACCACCATAATTTTTTCTTCTTCAAAGTTCAAACTACCATAACGGTTGACTAAGCATCAGGTCAACTGCATTTATATTAAGTTAAAAATTTGTGATATAAATTATTTAAAAACTTTTAGGGTTAGCAATCGGTTTGGTTCGATTACAATCATAATTCTTTAGTCGGATCTCGATTAACTATTAAGCCAGCGGCTGATCGAGAAAAGAGTAGAGCACTGGGCCACATTTGAAAAGAGGCGGAAATGGTTGAGCCGTAACCCAACGAACAATGAAATGATTACCTAAATTTGAAAATTTACCAGTGTTATACTAGCTCTGAATCCAGCGGAGGGCTGTGCTGTGGCCCGGGGGCGCCCCTGGATCCGCCACTGCATTAAGCACTTTTACTCTTACTGTTAACCGCACCATTTTTATCAGACAGTTAATCATAACTGTATAGTCGGTTCTCGATTATTCTATCGGTTTACTGGATAACCGTTAAGCAAGTGATTCGACAAGGTTGTAACAAAATAACCGATCGGTAACCTAACCTAACTAACAGAAGATTCCTACATTTTCATAGTTTTTTGTTGCATACGTATGGGTTCATTTTTAAGTTGCTATCATTGAAAATAAAATAATTTAATATACATATAAATCCATAATCATCTAAATCAGACACAAGTACATAGTAATATTATTCTACCGTCAAATTTTATTAAGGAAGCAGACAATAATAAGAGAGTCAATAACAATTACTCAACTCATAACCCCACCAAATTACATGAAATCTAAAATGTTACTAATTATTGTCAAACTTTTATGCGAAAGTCCAACTTTTTATTGTGCTTCTTCTAAAGCCGTTCATTGAAATTATTATCATTTGAACCTAAGTCACTATTACAACTAGGTTTGACAATGAATTTTGTAGGCCTTCAAACATCTCATTATTTTGGCCTATGTATGTGACTCAGCGAGGCCAATTATTTTCTGCCCTAACTATGAGGATAACCGTAATTGGTTAGTCAGTTAAGGGTTTAATCGTCAGTTAATAATTAGCTAGATTTTGACCACCAGGAACCGGCCGTTTACGGTTTAATCGGTTATCAATATAACCGATTACCATTTACCAACCTCTCTAACAAAAATTACCATTTACCAACCTAAGAAAATAAACAATTATTATATGGTTGTTGGGAACAGGGCGACGTGGAGTCGGTAGGGGAAGCTTTAAGTATGGCAATGGGAGTGATGGATGGTATACAAGAGCTGCTAAGCAAATTCTTCTCACAGGTTAGTTAATCACCGATGATTAATGTTGTATTATTATTCGTAATCAATTGATTAGTGTTGTTATTAATTATTTATTACTACACGTTGGGTGCAGCTGGAGAGAAATCTGTACTTGTTAACGGAGCTAACAAGCAGCGTAGAGAACCAAAACGAGAGATTACAAGAGATGGACAAAATCGTATCCATGCTTGCTCACTTACTGGTAAGCCTGGACTTCCCAAAACCCCTCCCCAGCCCAAATAAACAATTGGGCCGACGAGGAAGTAATCCCCCCGATTTGTGACTTGCATGCTTGCAGGAGTGGGAGAAGAACGTGCGAGTAGAAGTGTTGCGCATGGTGGATAAGTCCTGGTGGGATGGAACAAAGAGCTGTGCCCTTATGATGGTGGACAGTAAAGGTCCAGGCCCAATCCCAAGCCCAAGAATCTGAGTGGGTCGATATATAGTCCATCAAACCAGAAAACTTCATCCCAAGCAGCCAAGCTCTGCACATTTTTCTGCAGAAAAACAAGAGTGAAATGGGACGTAATTAAGCTCGAAGAAATTATATTCATGCAGTTGGCTTGCATGTGGGGAAGAGAGTGAACGGAGTTGGGCCCCAAAGATAGGGGTGGCTATACGGTCGGGTTAAATTGGACCAAATTAATCCGGTTCCAGTCCAGTTTTTTCGGGAATATAAGGACCAAAGATTGGATTGGATACAGTCTGGTCTTGATTCGGTCCGATCATGACCTGGTCCGGTCCCAATTTTATCTTGATTTTAGGTGTTGAGAGTCTCTTATCCGGTCTTTATCCGATTTTTTACCTCAAATCTAGGCTCGAATATGAGATTGCATTGTTTGCTATCCGATCCCAATCCGGTTCCGGCCGAGTTATACGGTCCGATTTTGGGTAAAACCAAACAGTCCGGGACCAAATAGTCAGCCCTAGAGGCAAACTGGCTTGTTCTTAAACAGTCGCCGACTGTTTCTCTTATATAGGAAAGTACTCGGAAGAAGAAATGAAAGGAGCAGGGATCTTTCAAGAAGAAATGAAAAAACGGTCTATTGAGACAATCGCATCATCGTAAACGAAAATAAAGTTGATAAACAAAAAAAAAAAAAAAAAAAAATTAAGCAAGATGGTCAATCGGTTATGCCATTACCTTATCATCACGGTTGAAACATGATTCCGTGACAATAAATGTTTCAATACTACAAGATGAACTTTGCTACCGCTTTACTGAGTTAATAGCGACATCAATATGTACGAACAACCATATGTGTTATTAATTAGTTTATCACTCTAAAAAGCGGGTAAACAACTTTCTTATGGCTTTATAGTTTGTTCAAGAAGAAAATATATGATGATATTAAAGATAGTTGTTAGTACAATAACCGTACCTAGATCAATAGGTCAACCACTCTAGCTAACTGGCCGACCTTTAAGGTAAAATCGTGAGTATTCATTATCTTTGTAGCACTCTCCGCGATATTGTCTTGAGATATGAAGATATCTTAATTAACCGTAACAGGTTGAGCTCTCCACAATGCGATCAACCTATTTATTTTCAAACATCATCCTTTTCATCATCATCAGGACGACCACATGATCCACATCATATAAGCGATTGACGGTTCTTTTCATTTCTAATAATTGAATCTTTTCAAAACACCTACCCTTAACCTCCGAAAATAGGAAATGGGTAAATACTATTTTTTTAGCCAAACATTTTTCCCATTTCAAAATATTAGCTAAACCTTTTAAAATACGAAATATTAGCCAACTGTTAAGTTTCGGTTAAAATTTTCGTTAGTAAAGACTGAGTTGGTAAATGCAATGCTGAGTTGGAAAAAATGATAACGTGGCAGTGAATAGGATGACAATGCTGAGTTTGAATAAGGACTTGCTAGCAAAATTAAAAGAAGAACGACAATGGCAGATTGGCAGTCGTCATAGAATACATGAACTAATTCATAAGCTAACAGATAATCAATCGGGAAAGGATGGATGTGTTGGGTGGGAGTAGCAGGATGTCTCTAATCCATGGATTATATAGTAGTCGGGTGAGAGTTAGTTGTTGTGTATGATTATGTATCCCACCTTATTAGCTCTATTGTCCGTAGTAATTGTTGCTACTTAATTGCAAAGCTACGATAAGGTGTAGCAGGAATACAATTGCAAGGTAATACCATTTTTTGGTATTCTCATTCAATCCAGCCACTATTTGTGTGTCGTATGTATATTAGAATGAACTGATGAGTTAAGCTTTGGATTTATAATTTTTTATGGATAGTGATAAATTCACATATGAATTAGTGTATTATATATGTCTTGTATATTATAGCGCATGAGCGATTCTATGAATAGTTAACCAACAGTTCTATATTAGTTAAGGGTTAATACCCTAGTTTGGCTCGAAGTTTAACGCAAGTGACAGTTGTGGCCTGACTTTTTTAGTAAGACATTTATGGCATTCTTTTCAAAATAATGGACAAATTTAGCCCAAAACTTGAGTTGACCGTTAAAATTGACGGTCAAACATTCTTACCGTTAATGACTCAGCAAACTATTGTTGATGTGGCTGATGTTTGTCTCCACATACTAAATAATTAGGTATTTAATTTTTGAAAAATAACAAAAAGCAACAAATTAGAAAAAGGACCACAAAATCAAAATCCCTACATTTTCTCTCTTCACTCTCAGCAAAGAACTCACCCCGCGTCCCGCCGCAACACCACCCGTCCCCATTAATTCCGCCTCCACTCCATCTTCCTTAACCCTCCACCGCCGCGCCTTCCATCTTCCCTAACCCTCCGCCGCCGCTCCCTCTATCTTCCCTCCACCATCACCTCCTCCGTTCAATCTCCCATTACCTCGACGACGCCTTGCTCGTCGTCTTTTTCCATATCTACATCGACGCCATTCCTCGCGATCGCAACCCTTGTTCTGCTTCGTCGCTCTCGACTCCACAGTTGCAGAGATCTACGCCATCCTTCGTAGATACGTCATCTCGCCGTCGTCATCAATCGCCATATTCTCTCCGCCATATCTCTGCCAGGAATCATCACGACACAACATCGGTTTCCCTTACCCTCTCTTTTCCCCTATATCAATTCGGCGGCACCCACCGTAGATACGTCCTCCCACTGCATAGTTTGACGACAAGGCTGGCTGTCGGTAAGGAGAGAGAATTAGACATGGGGGGAATTAGAGGTAAGGTTGGATGTTGGAGGGACGCGATTGCGATAGAGGAATCGTAGGTGAGGTAAGAACTTAGGAGAAGAAGAAGATAAGGAAGAGGGTTTTTATTTTATTTTATTTATTTAAATTTGTTTTCTATTTTTTGTTTTTAATTAATAAGTGATGTGGATGCCACCTCAGCACTGGATGTTGAGTCATTGACGGAATATATGTTTGACCGTTAATATTAACAGTCAACATAAGTTTTGGGCCAAATATGTCTATTACTTTGAAAAGTAGGCCATAAATGTCTTATTAGAAAAATCGGGCCACAAGCCCACAACTGTCACACACGCCAAACTTCGGGCCAAACTAGGCTATTAACCCATTAGTTAACCGTTCAAACATGAATCACTAATTTTTCCGGTTTGACCATCCGATCCGGTTATGAAAACGACGGTTCTCTTGCAACCTGCGCAAGTGTCTCATTTAATGAACTAAATTGCATGGACATGGTGAATGATAGCCCATATACGGAATAATTATTAGTTAGCCATTGGTTAGTTAAAAAAGCTGGAAATAATTACCCAAGCCCATCTCCTCCAATAATATATGGTAGAGTTTTGTGAATTTTTCTCCATTTCAAATTTCCTGCAACGAGAGTGAAAGTAGGAAGGATATTTTTGTCTTTACAATTAAATATTTATCTCAATAAAAATATCAATATGTGGATTCGAACCCGGGTCTCTTAAAACAAAGACAACAATCACAACCAATTACACTAAACAAATTTGTTGTATCTTTTTTAGTACAAAGCATACACAAAGTTAGACTCAGAAAATTGGATGAATTTTCCATCATGATTAACAAGCCCACTAAGTCTACCGTATATATTTTTATGGTGCTTGATACTTCAGTTTTCATAGTAGCTAGAGTTTCATGTAATTTTCTCAATTTTAAATTTTTTGCCCTCACCTTAATTTTTTTGCTAAAGGTAGATTGATAATTGGCTACCATAGAAGAAACTAATTATGTTACTGCGTGTTGTATCCTTGAAATTGTCAATTTAAATTTAAATTTAGTGCTTTTTTATCTTTGTTCTTATCTCTTTTAACTTCCTCCGAAATTTCCTCTATCGTGCAATAGTTTACGCCCCTTTCACTTTTCAATACAAGGCCGCCTTTGAAATCAATCTTTTGGTATCTCTTGGCACTACGATTTTATTATTCGGGATTTATGCTAGGCAAATAGAAGATTTCAACTCCGATATCAATCCATGGCAAAATGAATGGAGTTCAATAAATGGAGTTGTAGAAGGAGGATTAGAGATTGAATTTTTTATTGAAACATATGTCTCTTGAGATAAAAATTTGGTTCTACAGCAGAGAGTGGTGACTATTGGACCTTTAGGTTTATGGTTTTTGCAGCTAGGTCGATTCTTTATTCAACCTATTGGAACTGATAGATACGGAGTGTCTAATTTTGTGTCTTATTACTTCGATCGAGTTTATTAGCATATTGGAGGTAACCCTAATTTTGTCATTTGCTCTCAAGTTTTATTGGTCCCCTCTTAATTGAGTTGTTAGTATATAGTTGACTTGAATCAACAACTCTCCAGTTCTTTTTGATTAGTGGCATATTGTTCCTAAGGAGTGCATTGAACCCTTTATGTAGGATTGTGAGGTTTAAAATTGTGTTTCAAACTATCTATGGCGTGTGGGAATTCCAATGAGCTTTTGTACTCTGTCTTTCTTGACAATCAACTAACCAATAGCATTTTAATTGGGGCTTAATTATCATTATAAAAATGAGATCAATCATTTTTATATTTTATATTCTTATTTATCCAAAAGTTCGACCTATATATTCTTTCTTTATATATCATCTAGATCGAAGAATTGTCAATAAAATTAAACGGGTTGATAGACTTAAATGTAACATAAAAATATAAATAATCAAATATGAACATTCCGGCCAACGGGCCGGGTTATAAGCTAGTATAAATTAAAACCATTCCGTCCTCTAACTAAGTGATTAGACCATAATAATTAATAATGAAATGACCAAAGACCCCTTTCGTGGTATGCGCCGAAGTCAGGAAAAGTAAGATTAAGGGGGTTCCCGGAGGAGAACCTCCATAATATATTGTTTGGTGATTGATGATATGTAGTAGGCCTGGCTATTTGGTCCGGGTTTTTTTTGTTTTACTCGAAATCGGACTGTATAGGACCAAGATTAGACCGGGACCGAATAGTAAATAATCCAATCCAATCTTTGGGCTTAGATTTGTGGTAAAAAAAGCTTTCGGGACCATATTGAAAACTGGATAAAGATCGGATAAGAGAGCTCAGCACCCAAAACTTAAGGATAATTTGCATAAACGCTCACAAACCTATGCACTTAGTACAAAACTTAACCAACTCCTCACCCTTTAAGGCCTTAGGTCACTCAAATCCCCACAAGCTCAATATAAAATCAAGACCGAATTGGGACCGGATCAAGATTGGATTGTATCCAATCCAATGTTTGG